AAAAAAGTACATGGCAAGGGCTGTCTTTTTGCCATCGCCCTCCCCCAGCGCTACCACAAAACTCATTTAACTTAAAAAACTCCTCACCAGCAGTAACATGAAAAAGTCCAAACTGTTTTCCAGCACCGAGCCCCTCACAGAGGTGCTCCTCGGCGCCCGGTTACCTACGGACGCGACGAACGCGCTCATGCAGCAGCTCGAAGGCCGTCAGCCGCCTGCCCTGGTTATAGGGCCGGGTCCCAGTGCAGAAAGCTGCTGGCCATGAGCGAAGCCAGTGAGGCGTCGGGACGGGGCTCCCTGCCCTCTGCTCGCCTCCGGGCCCGGGCGGCCCTTTCCACCCCTCCGAACAGCAGCCGACGGGGCAGCGGCGATTTGTGGCTTCACCACCGGCATGAGCTAGCCTGTGCCTCGGCTTCCTCCTGGGCGAGCTGGTACAAGGGCGCTTCAGAAGCGGTCAGTGCCTACATTTGGGGAGCTTTATACCCAGGCTAAATAACATTAAAAAGCTGCAGGGGAATCACAAGGCTGGCTTTGCTCAGAGCAGCCATCCCTGGGGTGCGGGTACAGGGCCCAGCGTCACCTGGGCTGAGGCTGAGGGCCGCCATGGAGCCAGGGAGCCGGGAGGACCAGGCGCCCACGGCCTGCGGAGGGGCTCACCGCTGGTCCCGGGCCCCCCCGTGCCTGTGATCTCATTATGGGGCATATTCCAGAACCACCAGACAGGCAGGGGTTCAGAGACGACGTTGGAGGGTGAGGACAAAGCCCTGTAGCACCTCCGGGAGAAGCACCTTCCACTGCCTCGGGCTTCCACATGGGCGACAGCGTGGCGCCCGCCGGATATTCGTCCTCGCACATGGAAAGGAAGATGAGTGCTATGGCCTGCACCGTCTTCAATGAGCTTCGCCTGGAAGGGAAGCTCTGTGATGTGATCATCAGCGTGGATGGTATTGAATTCAGCGCTCACAAGAACATCCTCTGCAGCTGCAGTCACTATTTCAGGTCAGTGCTCGAAACGAGAGGGGACGGGGACAAGCAGTACCTCCTAGCCTGTGCCACGTTGTCCAGTGCATCCCCAGCGCTTCCATCGGCATTAAAACTCCCGTCCCGCAGTCAGCTGCGGTCCCGGTGCCTGCCCGGACACCAGAACTAACCCACACCCCGGTGCCTAAGAGCCGCTCTGGAAGGGGGGGCTGACGAACCCCCGCTGCCCCGCAGGGCGCGGAGCGTGGCCAGCCCGGCTCCTCCGCCGTCGGGCGGGAGGCTTTCCCTCCCCGCACACCCTTATTCTCCGCCATCCTTGGAGGAGCAAGGTGACCGCTCGCCCTATTGCTCTGTCCACAGACAGAGGCTGCGTCTCCTTTTTAAAACAGCCAGCTAGTAAAACATTAATTAATAAACCACACGGCCTCCCAGCATGGCGACTGCTAGTGCCCAAACTGGTGCCCAGGGAAGAAGGCACAGGGGGTAACGGGGTCAGGGTTTAACGCAGCAAAGCTGCTTTTCCCCAGCACTGCTTTGCTTTTTCAGGGCTTTGTTTACCAGCAGCTGGAACAACGCAGAGAAGATAGTGTATAAAATCCCCGGCACTTCACCTGAAATGATGAGGCTCATTATCGAGTACGCCTACACCAGGATGGTACCGGTCACGGCTGACAACGTTGAAAGCTTGCTAACCGCAGCAGACCAGTTCAATATCATGGGCATCATCAGACTGTGCTGCGAGTTCCTAAAATCCCAGCTATGCTTGGAAAATTGCATCGGCATCTGCCGACTCACAGATTATTACCACTGTCCCGACCTGCGAGAAGCAGCCTATGTGTTCATCCTCCATCACTTCGAGGAGATGACCAAGGTGTCTACAGAGTTTCTAGACCTCTCCGTCAACGAGCTGAAGCACATCATTGAGAAGGATGAGCTCAATGTGAAACAAGAAGATGCCGTGTTCGAGGCGATTCTGAAGTGGATCGCTTACGACCCGCAGAACCGGAGGCAGCACATTGCAGTCTTGCTGGGCAAGGTCGGTGCTGGCGGGGCAGCTGAGCCAGAGCCGCTTGGCTTTTCTTGCAAGACCGGAGGAAATTGCAGCCTCCTACGGCTGCTCACAGAGAAGCGAGCTTGCAGACCGTTAGGCTATTGCGACGCTGGGGCACGGGTCGAAGATCCTGCGTTGGGGTCGGGGCAGACCTTTTAAGTGCGCATTTCCTCCTGTTCAGAGCTTAAGTTTAGCTGTTGCTCCAACCCAGGAAGGGCCGGAGTTCACGGGGGACGGTGTTATCTGTACACGCACAAAGCCGACGAGCGCTTGCCTAGACCAGCTGCACTACGCAAACAGCAGCAGGCGTTGGGGCAGCTTCAGGCTGCGCGCAGGAAAGCGCCGTGCCAAAGCGGCGGCAGCTCCCTGCCCTGCAATCGAATGATTTACCCTTGCACACCCTGTTCTGGACTAGCTAAAAACTACACACTTCATTCTCTGGTTCTCTAAAAAGCTTTAGACAACGCTGTAGCCTGAAAGCAAAGCCATCCAGCACCGGAGCTCTCCACGAAGGATACCGAGGTGTAAAGCACCCGCGTTAATATCCTAACCTCTTTTGTGCATTTTTCAGGTTCGACTGGCGCTGATGCAAGCAGAATACTTCATGAACAACGTCAAAACGCACGATTACGTGAAGGACAACGAGGAGTGCAAAGTCCTCATCATAAACACGCTGACAGAAATGTACAACCTCAACATGCACGGCCCCTCTTACTCCGATTTCGCCAACCCGCTCAGCCGGCCTCGCCTGCCCTACGCCATCCTGTTCGCCATCGGAGGCTGGAGCGGGGGGAGCCCAACCAACGCCATCGAGACGTACGACGCCCGTGCGGACAAGTGGGTGAACGTCACATGTGAGCAAGAAAGCCCCCTTGCCTATCACGGCACGGCTTATTTAAAAGGCTTTGTCTACGTTATCGGAGGATTTGACAGCGTGGATTATTTTAACAGCGTCAAGCGCTTTGACCCACTTAAGAAAACATGGCAGCAGGTTGCACCCATGCACTCGCGGCGCTGCTACGTCAGCGTCACCGTCCTCAACAACTTCATCTACGCCATGGGAGGGTTTGATGGCTACGTGCGCCTCAACACAGCGGAACGGTACGAGCCGGAGACGAACCAGTGGACGCTGATTGCCCCCATGCACGAGCAGAGAAGCGATGCGAGCGCGACCACGCTGCACGAAAAGGTACCGTGAGATCGCAGAGAGCATTCGGGTTGAAGTGTGGTGCGCAGGACAAGGAACCAAACAAACATCAGCGCGCAGCGTTACGCAGCGAGCAAGTGCCTGTGATTTCATACGGCACGTATCGAGGTAGGGACTTTCGTGGAGCTCGGCCAGAGATAAGCACAGCTACCGCTCTGAGTTCGTCATCTAGAGAGACCAGAGGAGCTGCGGAGCAGGAAAGGTTACAAACGCTCCCCTTAACGCGATGGATCATTAAAATAAAGAGGAAGAAAGTTCACGTAAACCTTATTCATTAAATCCCGGAGCCACAGACACGAAGCTCTCCAAGAGGCAGTGGCTGGCTGGCGCGGCAGAGGTGCAGGCGGGAGGGGTACAGCTCGGCCAGACCCGCTTGCCACCCACAGCCCGCTTGCTGCCGGACAGCGCGTTCCCTGGCCGCGAGTCAGACACCGTGCCCCTCTGCTTCATGCAGCTCAGGAAATAAGGGGTCCAAATGCTGCTGGCCTGCACCGCTCACTGCACTTTATTACTTCAAACCCAGGATGACCATTCCCAGTAAAACCAAACCAAACCAACCAAGAAACCTCCCCAAAATCCGTCCGCACCTTTCATTTTCTCCTCGACGCGTTCTCCCACCAGGAGCGTAACTGCCCTGCTCACACGTTTCTTTCCCCTGTAAACAGGTGTATATATGTGGTGGGTTCAACGGCAACGAATGCTTGATCACAGCTGAAGCGTACGATGCCACAACAAACCAGTGGACCTTCATAGCCCCCATGAGAAGCAGAAGAAGTGGAGTGGGCGTGATCGCGTATGGGAACGAAGTGTACGCGGTAAGGGAGAAGCGGTCCCTCTGCCACACCACCACCCCGGACCTGTAGTACGTAGTTTTGCTAATCTGCATTTCCTAGATTTTCAGGCTGGCCACTTGCTTGTGAGATTTAGGGAAGTCGGAGCCAGAATGGTTGCTCTGCCTCCCGAGAATATTATCACCTCACACTTTTCGTTATGGAAAACGTGTGGACAATTTTTAAGCAGCTGCAGCAAAGAAATTATTTTCTGCTGCTGCTACCAGCATTAGCAGCACAGAACGTTTGTTTGGCCCTGTTTATCCTATCCGTGCACTGCATTTAAACTCTGAAAATCTGACAGTTGCACAAAATAACTTTCGGAAGCTCCAGAAAGAACAAGGGAGCAGCCTGCGATACGCAAGCGTTGTGTTTTGAGGTCACACGCTCTCAGCAACGCTCAAACTGAAGTCAGCGAGGCAGGACCAGTTACCACCAGTTGCCCCATGATTCGGCCGACTCGGCGGGCAAGGGAAGGCCTGTTTCAAGTCTCTGCCTTTGGCATTCACAGGTAGGGGGATTTGATGGAGTCAACCGGCTTCGGAGCGCAGAAGCTTACAACCCCATTGCCAACACGTGGCGCACAGTCCACACCATGTTCAATCCTCGCAGCAACTTTGGCATTGAAGTGGTGGACGATCTCTTGTTTGTGGTTGGTGGCTTTAACGGTTTTACTACGACTTTCAACGTTGAGTGTTACGATGAAAACGCCAACGAGTGGTACGATGTTCACGACATGGGCGTCTACCGTAGTGCTCTGAGCTGCTGTGTGGTGCCAGGTCTATCTAACGTTGGCGACTACGTTGCCAGACGAGACCGCTACGTGGACAACTCCTCAAAGGACGTCAGGTTCACTCCTTCGACAAGCAGCCTGCCTGTATAAACAGCTCCACTTAGCAAATAAAGTCTTCTGAGCAGCCAGCGAATGTATTCACTTATTCTAAAATAAAAACAATTGATATAGGCCAAAAGAATAATTAGTGTTTAAAACTTTCATTCTATGGCACCACAAAACGTGTGTATCGGCCGCAGCCTACCTAGCAACTTAAAAAATAAAAGGTACAACAGAATGCTAGAGAAATAAAAGGTTTATTTTCATTAATTCACTTATTACAATAAACTTTAGTACAGTGTCTTTAAGGTAAAGAACATTACAGTAGGGTTTGTTTCAAACGGCCTATCCACACATACTACTTTACCTTACTGGAAGTAAGGACGGGAGTGCTGCTTCCCCAAGCAATCTGCTGAAGTCTACATTAATATCGACAGGAGAGCGCAGCTGCCGTGATCCACAGTGACATGGACCTACGAGGAGTATCTGACTATTAATGGTCTTCAAACATCTCGTTAGCGCCACTTTACATTCATATTAGTAACAGGATTAGATCCTCAGGAGCACCTGTTTTATCAGACTTCCGCTCAGGACTGTCAAATTAGAGACACGATTTATACCCCAACGTAACGTGGACACAGCTGAAAATAAATCTAAGCCATAAACCACTTATTTTAAGCTTGTTTTTTTAAGCCCGTTGAATG